GTTTTCGTCCTCTCACTCCGCCACGAGAAGGCAGTGGGTAGGGCTTATGTACCATGTCAACGGAAGGTGCATATTGTAGAGGCACGGAACGGGCAAGTTCGTTCGAACGAGAACGCTGTGTTAGGTGTAAAATAGAGATGAAAAGGTGATTTTTCGGCAATAATTTCTCGACCGAATGTTGAGTCCATGATTTATTTTCTGACCTTGAATTCAATGCGGGAGAGAAGCAATGAGGGGGATGAATGAACGACGCTCAACTTGACACATTATTATAGTTTTCAAGAATCTGAGCTTTTCATGGTACAAGGTTTGTTGAAATGAAGAAATATCCTAGGTAAAAGAAGCCAGTATTGTAATAAGAAAAAAACAGACTTAACAAGAGAAACACTGGTTTTCTGTGGTTTACATATTGTACGAATTTATACCTAAGCTTATAATTATCCCTAAATATAGAGTTTTATGTACTCAAGTATTTCGATAAAATTGGCGACATTGACAATGTCATGCAATAGCTTTGTCCTCTTTGAAAGAGAAGTAATAACCTGACGTGGCTCTTCCCTTGCTTCACCCATCAGCCCATGTTTCCCACTGGTTTTTCAAAGGAAATTTCGAATTTGATCTCTATTTCTGTTGTTGTGGCACCTAGTGCTTCAGGAAAACAAATTTTATTTGTATGCCAAATTAATTAAACATCGACCAGGATTATTTGGAAATTCATCTGCGGTTTTCAGCGGGCTCAATGTATGGTTTTGTAACATGTCATGCCATTTGAGGTCTATGTTTTCACACCTGTCTATTGCTGCCACTGATGACTCACCATCCCCAATTAATCTGAGGTGATATTGACATACACCACTTGGTCTTTTGCTAAGCTTTTACAACATAAATCTTGATAATGGGGTGTAGAATCATTGAGCCGCCGAGATCCTAACCTAATATGCATTCAGGGCAGATTTAAGCAGGTTTGATTTACAGTCGGATTATGTTTTGTTTTATTTAGAAGCCAAATAAGTGCAACGTTGTGGTGGAGAAGAATGGTAGAAATTCCGTTGACTCGCAGGCACGCTACAAGTGCAATATATTCGNCGTGCGAATCACCGATAACCCCTTATCCTTCCCCCCATTGATCCGTTTCACGGTCTGGATGGTTGAACATGACACACTGTTTACAGTTTTGCACATACTGGTTTCTCTCTCGTAATTGGTCGATATAAAAGAGTTCGATACAATCGCATCATGTTCCGGCCTCATAACGTTCGCCGACAACTTCCTTCTCGCATTTCGAAGTTTGTCATTGCGTGGAACGTTTCNNNNCTGAGGTAAATGATCCACTTTTTCCAAAAGTGTTTCACATGATGTTTGTATCACGTAGTAATCTCTACCGCCCATGTTTGATTGTAATTACCTTTTGTTTTTGTTTTTTACTTTGCATGAATATAAACTCCTGGATATGCGTTTCGGCGTTTTTTGGTAACCGAATCTCGTGATGTCCATTGTTCAAATTCATCATCGGTACGGCTTAACTTAATTGGCTGTTTTCTTAACCTATAAATATTGATTTACCTAAGACCTTTCTCAAAATGTTATTAACTATTCTATTTTCTTCTATCTACACGTTCTTTTTGACCAGCTTGACATTAGATCATCACTTGATAAGACTTTCTACTCCTTCCTTCATGAGTTGACTGAATGGGTGGTTGAAAGACGGCAACGGTAGCCCTGTGCACGGAAGTGCAAATGCAATGATTATGCTAATGGTACTGATTAGCCGATAGGCATATGGTGCTTATTTGGACATCAAATAAACCGATCTCATTCATTAATGATCGTTTGTTCTGATTTTTACCGTGGCCATTTTTGTGTGTAGCGCTTCTCACATTTTCGCACCACTGTTCTAGAGTTGTCTCAACATGCACGAAAAGGTATCATGAACACAAACTTGGCTCCATCAACATATTAGAAACACTAACTTTTCTCTCTAGGTACCGTCCAAATTTGGTGAGGTCGACTGCGTTGTAGGTTAATTTTAGGTCAATGACAATAGCAATGTCACTGTCACAAACGGGGTCATTCTGTTTCAGAATTTGAAGCAAATAAGGTTAATGCAGCCTCGGTCGAGCTTAAAACCATCTTGAGTTTTGTACGCGGCTGCTAACCGTCAATTTAATACAAACAAAATGCTTCAAGCTGCAGAAAACTAAACTAGTTTAATATTTGGACGGTGAATATTTGTATTAGCCCCTTCAGTTTTGGACACCGGCACCAGATACTGTGGATGATTTTGAGTGTGGGTTTCATTCCTTGGGAGATCGTGGATTCCCTACGAGGTAAATGCATTTAAATGCCATGGAAAACTTTGTGATGACCGACAAAGAGCACTGGACAACTGTTTCGTCCTGCTTGGGACTCGTCAGCAGTGCGTATCCGAAGGTTCGCGGTTCGAGTCCTGAAAAGGACATAAAAAGATACGTACAGCTGACGAGTCCCAAACAGAACGAAACAGCCATCCAATGCTCTTTGTCGATCATCACAAAGATTTCCATCGCATTTAAATACTTTTATGTTATTTTCATAAATGATACATATTTCTCATTTCCTTATTAGCATTGAACCGACCGAATTGTGCAACCGTGAGGACTTAGGGCAGAGAGCCGTGTAAGACCCGCTGGAGGAAAAGCGTGGTCTTGAGCCTAGAACTGATGAAAGTATATTTCACCAAATCGGAAAAGATGACGGGATAGCACTTATTTTGTTACGTAGCTGAGAAGTTTCGTGAGCTTCTAGACTGAGGCTGAATCTTTATCTTTGCAAACGGACGGAGGGAGCCTATCCGGTCGTAGTGCTTAATGTTCGTTGAATTGAGTTTTCCCTTGCCACACCTTCATTCCGGTCAGAGAGCTAGTGTTCATCTGCAGTACTACGGTTGTAACCGTTTTACACAAAGCAGTCATTGCACAAATTTACTGAATTTGGAGCATCATCATCGTCTCAGTATAGTTACCTGAGTTAGTCAAGCTCCTCGGAGGTCATTTGTAGCGGATTCAACAATCATGGCTAGGCATTAAAACGTTAAACGTTTGCAAACTGCACAGGCTGTTCTAGAATAAATTATCTACTTTGCCGTGAGCGGTGTCAACCAAAAGAACGGTAAATTCTACAAACTAACTAAAATATACAAAACCGGGAATCGCGAAATTCATTCCTGTGAGTGGGGTTTAACTACGCCAGATCTTCATTAGCTGCAGCTGGAGAAACCATGCGACATTACTGCATTCCAAGACTTATGTTGAAAGACTGGAATCATTGTGGTTGTACTCCACACAGTACCTTCGAATTCAAGGGGGACTTGACTTTGGTTAGTTGGGATCGAATAAATCGACGGTTTTAGAAAATCGTCTCCCTAACTTTCGGTACCGATACACAGAAACTCATGCACACGTATATACGCTGTTTCACACCGCAT